TCTATCTAACTGAACTCTTTATATGTCTGGCCAAACAAAAGTTCCTTGTGATGTTTCCAACTCTAATCTAGTACCACGTGGCTCACTCTGGCTTCCCCCTTGCTTATCTGTAACCTTTCTCTCCAGGAGTGAGAAAGCCTGGCTCCCAATACTCACTGTCCATTTGTTCCATTCCAGTGTACAGGTACAGCAGTTTCAGAATTGCTAGCTCACTTCCCCATGTAATGACTTGCATTTTGATTTTTCTCCTCCTTCTCTCTTCCCTTCCACTAGAGATTTGATCTGACCTAGTGGGAGCACTTAGGAGCCAGAGAGAAGAATCCCCATAAACAACTCAAGACAAGGATAACCCCCTGACTACCTTAGAAACCGTTGTTCAATCTCACCTGAGATGGCTCATAGAGAATCAGTCGACTCTTGTCTACTTGGTTTTGTGCCCACAATTTGTCTGTATGTCCCCATGTACGACCACACACTTCCAAAGTCATCATGCCATTGAGAGAGAAGCCCCACCTGAGTGTAGGAGATAAAGCTATGGCGTGCCAAAGCGCTGTCCTAATGCTTTGCCATATGTTCTGTGGCCTTTAAAGGGGCAAGTGGCAGAATTCTAATAGAAACAAAAACTTTGCTACAAATTTAAAATGCAGGGGTAATATTATGTAAGCATGATAAATCACAAAGGCACAAATAACCTAGAAATGGTAGCCCTGGCTGGCGTAGCTCAGTGGATTGAGCGTGGGCTGCGAACCAAAGTGTTGCAGGTTAGATTCCCAGCCAGGCCACATGCCTGGGTTGCAGGCCACGGCCCCCAGCAACCGCACATTGATGGTTCTCTTTCTCTCTCTCTCTTTCTCCCTCCCTTCCCCTCTAAAAAAATAAATAAATAAAATCTAAAAAAAAAATTACTTAAAAAAATAGCCTAGAAACAGTACTTTAAGAAAATAAAGGTGTGTTTCACTCATCCACTGCCTCACTCAATCTCTCCATCTGTCACTTTCTGTCACTGAGGGAATTATTTGATTCTTGTTTTTCTTTGGTTCTTTTTGTTTTCAAGAGAACAATTGACTATTCTTGAATGGTCCGGGTTCAGAGCAGAGGTTTTTATGGAGTGTCAGGGAACGGGATATGTGGGTTGAGAGAAGATGAGAACTAGGATGTGAGTCTGTTGCTACAAAGATGGATTGGAGATGGAAACTTCGCTTTCTATGTTTGTCATAGTCAGCCCTTTTATATTTCACAACATCAAAAATGTTCGAAACTGAGCCCTTCAGCATAAATTCTCAATGAAGAAGAAATACCAGGCACTTAGTTCCTCCCTGGGTTTTCCCCTGGTTTAAGGGAGGCAGTTGGACAGGAGTGGAAGTAAGATAAATGATTTTACTTCTTTACCCTGGCTTCACTTCAAAATTAGTCCGTCACAACTGCCTCTCTGCCTCGCACGCTGTGGCCAGCGCGGGCAGGGTAAAGTAGGTTAGGAGCCATACACAGGAGAATTTACATTTCTACCGGAAATTCGAGTAGCCTTCACTAGTGGGAAGAATGGGATTTATCGATCTTGTTTGGAAGGAGTACTCATAAGGATTTAGGTGTTGACATGTACTGATTGTCTTCTTTCTTTCAGTTTAGGCTTTTCCTGCTTCTTGGTGGGGCAAGTAATTATTTATTGAAACTTAGACATTTTTGTATTACATAAGACTCTAAATATTATTGAATCTTTTAACTTGCTTTGTCTGACATCTCTCTGGCAAGTTGAAGCAAGGGTTGCTACCTCATTACTACAAAGATGAATTGCTTTGTAGCAATTACTGCCAGGTGGAAAAGGAAAATCCAGGTTCCCCACTTATCTTCCATTGCTACCTGGTGGTGGGAATGGCGGTGGTGGTGACTCCTTGTTACTATCGGGCCCAGTAAGATTTTCAGATCCCCGCCTGGTCTCCAGTGACACCACAGTGGGTGGGCATGGTCTTGTTCCCGCTGGGAAGTGGCCTAATACCACCCCAATATTTGGGAGAAGAGGAAGAGAGTCACCTTATTACTGCCAGGCACAGTTGGCAGTCCAAACTCCCACATGCTCTGCACCGGCACTGTAGAGGATGCTTCCTCACCAACTGGCAGGCATAAAGGTCCTGGCTTCGTATTTCATCTTCTCTGACATCACTCTGGTGGTGGAGCTGCTTGGTAGAGGTCCATGAGGGTAGAACTCTGTAGTGTCCCCACTCCGCCTTTGCTGGCGGGGATGGGAGTAGTTTCTTCTGTGGTGATTGGCCATAGTAGAGCAGCTATTTATAAGTTTCCTATCTTGCTAGGCTGTTCCTCTCCCACTCCTTTGGCTTTTGTTGAGGTTTTAGTCTATGAACGTTGATGTTTTCTCCAGCTATAAGTCCTGGTATATATGAGACAAGAAGAAACGCCAAGGGTCTTCACCTCCGTGTTGTTTTTTGGGACCTGAGATCCCAGGCTGGTCTACCTTGTTTTCCCCTGGCAGACTCTTCTTATGTTGGTTTTATATGCAACGCTCAGGCTTTTTATGTTCTATTTCATAGGAGGAATAGTTAAAAATAAGTCCGTTCCATTTTCCTGCAAAAAGTCCTTGTCATTCCATTTTTGTTTTATTTGTCTTGTTTTTTGCAATATTTTGTTAGGAAAGTTTTGAAAATGAACCAGTTGTACCGTTTATCATCCCCTATCTACCACCTTGACCGAACACTTAACAATTTGCAGCATTTTACTTTATTGTGTACAGGGTGGGGCAGAAGCAGGTCTGCAGTTGTTTGTATGGGAAATAATACAATAATTAATAAATAATAGTGCAAGAATGAACTGTTTTCAGACTCACCACTGTAAACCTACTTTTGCCCCACCCTGTATTTCTCTGTCCGTCCCATCTCTCCATCCATTTGTTATTTTTAAAGGATTTCAGTACACTTCACTCATAAACACATCAGCATGAACGTTATTAATTGGACTTCACTACTTACAGGCCTTTAAAAGAGAAATTTTACATAACATGAAGTGCGCAATGTCAGAATTACCACCTGATGGGCTTTGTGCAGCCCGTCCCGTACTGAGATCATCTCCATCCCCCGAGAAGTTCCTCATGCCTCTTCTCAGTTCTTACCACCACCTCGCTCCCAAGAAGCCATTACTGTTCTGCTTTCCTTTCTTTCTTCTTCTTTTTTGTTATTTGGCGGGGTGGGAGGGCAGTGTTGACCATAAATTTATTCTGTCACTTTTAAAACTTCATATAAACAGAACCACACAGTATTCACACTTTTGCATGTTGCTTTTTCCCCCCAGCACAATGTTTTTGACATGCGCACATATAGTGTATGTATCAGTGACTTTTGTTTTAATTGCCAAGTGCTGTTTCACTGCAGAAATAACACTGTAGTTTGTCCAACATGAGCTGCTTCCAGTTTTTTGCCACTAAAAGTTGATAGTTTCCCAACTATCAACTATCAACTATCAACTGTTGACATTATGATTCCTCATCATCGTACCTTCCTTCTGCGTTGAACACAGTGGAAGGAGACATAGGTTTTGTGCCTTTCTTCTGATCAATAACATGACTGAGGTGCCTAAAGCTATGTTCTGTCCTACACAGCACCCACATTTTCCACATATTTCTTGTTGGTAGTGATAGTTGTCATTTATTTCAGGCTGAAAACTTTTTGTAATAGAAGCTATGGCAGGGGGGGCTTTGCCCACAGGGCACCCCCACCACCACCACCATGGATGAGAATAAGTCTACCAAGACTGGATCTGCCTGGGGAGGAAAGGTGGTGGATCTCTTAAAGGAGAAGGGCCAGGAGCCTGTTCCTCAGTGGGCTTTCATTGGGTTCATTTGCACAGGAATTCAGGCAAAGCTCATTAATCATTGCCAGGCAGTCAGGATCAAACAATAGATAACAAGGAACTCCGAGGGCCTATTTTGAGTCAGGGTCAGATAGCTGAAGAGCTGTAAAACTTTGAGGAACAAACTTACTTCTTGCTTGGACCCTTATCATTTAATTGAGAGCATTCTAAACAAAGCAGGTTTCACAGGATTTTACATATTCTTTCTCAGGCCTGATCACCCGGGGAACCTGCCCTTTCCCGCACAGGGCTGCACCACCCTCTGTCATTGTTTCAGGCTTAAGTCAGTCAGGGGAAGTAAGGCAGCCAAGAGATTAGGAGACTTCTTGCAGACAGAATGAGGACTCAGGCTTTGTCAAAGTTGAGGGGCGAGGGTCCATCACCCCCTTTTGCTGTAACCCCCAAAGTCCTTCCTTGAGGGCTCCCACATAATCGTGCCTGTCTTAGATTGTTCCCCACTTAGAGATCTTAACCGTCATTGGCTAACCGACCAAGTATTGGGGGCCAGTTATGGATGAAGTAAAAGGAGCAGAAGCAGTGCTCCTGCCAGGGAGATAAGCTTTTGTCTCCTGAGTGGCTTAGGGTCCCAAGGTTGCTCCCTCAGCCTTAGCCTTGGAGGGGGTTATAGCTTCTGAAACCAGGCAGGGTGGTTCCCAACAAGAAGCAAAAGATAGTTTAAGCATTGTGAAAATTAGAATTTAGCTTCTTGGCACTAAATTTTAACTGGTAAAGCAGAAGCCGTAACTATAATATTCACTACTGAGAATGCCAAACTAGTCTGTGGGGAAACATCCTAGTTCAGAAATACTTAGGATACTTTATTTCTGCACAGAATATTGATGTACCTGTTGCACACAGATTCAGTTGTTTCAATGACCCACATTTTTTGGTCCCTACCTATTAAATAAGCTTCTCGCTGCTCCTCTCTCTGTTTCCACAGAATGATTATCTAAGGGCACTGTAATTTCTTGTTGATTTATACTGATTGATATCAGAGGAGTTCTAGGAAATGGGCAAAATAAACTTGATGTGAGATTCCAGTTAAAGTGGATATGCTTGCTATTAACAGTGCAGGGAGAAATAGATGCGGTTGTTTTTCAAACTGGTGTTACAGCTTTTCTCTGACTTTCTTTTTCTTCATACAGTTGATGGACTGGACAAAGCTTCTATAGCAAACTCAGATGGCCCAGCAGCGGGTTCCCAAACACCTCCTTTCAAGAGAAAAGGGAAACTTTCTACCATTGGCAAAATCTTTAAGCCTTGGAAATGGAGGAAAAAGAAGACCAGTGACAAATTTAGAGAAACCTCAGCAGGTATGAATATCATAACTTTGTTAGAAGAGGAGATGAATTGTTAAATTGGTCAAAAGGTTGAAGTGTGACTTGCAGGTTTTTTTCTGGAAAAAATCCATATTTTAAATGAAATTATTTCATTTAAAGATGAAACAACTTTGAATTCTGATTTGCCTTTTTCTAATTGTTTTGGCTTTCTAACATAGTCTTGTAAATGTATACTTGTAAATTCATGTAAAAAGCTGATGTGTAGGGAGGGAAAGGTAAAATGGGAAATTAGAAGTAGAAATGTTATTTGCCATTATTGTAGCTGCAAGAATCCATTTACACTCACACACGCGCGCACACACGCAAACACACACACAGCTATCTCTACCTACTTAGTTCCAGCAGCACAATCCTATCTGTTAACTTAAAATTTTTTAATGTCTTTTTTGGAATGTATTTGTTTGTGGGCAAAATCTGAACAGGTGTATGAAAGAAAAATGTTGCTATATTTGTTGTTTAATTTTAAATTTCCATCACGTCTTTAGGACTGATCTCTGTCCTAGGGTGCCAAACCCCAGTGGTGCCAAAATATTCTGTTATTTTATTTTGTGGATTTGTTAAACCTTAAGAATTATATTGTTTAGTACCCTCCATATGGACTGCTGGAGGAAGATGGCTTTAAATCTCAGGCCAGAATTAAGCCCAACTTAAGTCCAGTATCCATGGTATTTCATTAATATATCTTAAGTTCAGCTTTTTCCATGCTTACGGTCCAAAACAGTCACTTCATCAGAATTCCTCATTGCACCACAGTCTAAGATTCTCACTGTGTGTACAGGGTCACAGAGCGTGTCTCATGGTCTGCGCCAAGTTAAGAGCTAGCCTTTAGTTCTTCAGCAGTGAAAGAAGGTAAAACTATTGGACATCTGGCTTTCCTAAAGAAATGGTTTCTGATGCATTTGCAGCTATATATTTTCTTTGAGCATTTATTATTTTTTTTTTTAAAGCTATGGTAACTATACCTGGGATTTGTTTAAAAATAATCCTGGGAAATGGGTGAGTAGAGATGAAAGAAGATTGGCCACAAGTTGGTAATTGTTTAAGATGAGTAATGGGTACCTGGGGTTCATTATTCTCATCTCTTGTAGATATTGGAAAATCTCCTGAATAAAAAGATAGAAACAGCTCTGGCTGGTGTGGCTCAGTGACTGAGTGCTGGCCTGCAAATCAAAGGTTGCTGGTTCAATTCCCAGTCTAGGGCACATTCTTGGGTTGTGGGCCAGGTCCCAGTAGCGGGTACGTGAGAGGCAACTACACATTGATGTTTTTCTCCCTCCCTGTTTCCCTCTGTTCCCCTCTCTAAAAAATAAGTAAATAAAATCATTAAAAATTTAAAAAAGATAGAAACAGAAAAGAAACTTGGCTTAGAGTGAAATAATGCTAGCTTGGTTACTGAATCCTCTTTAGTTCCTAATTGGCTTCTTGGATTAAGAGGCAGTAGGAAGTAAGTGGTGCACAGAATGCTGTGCTGAGTGAGGACCTCTGGGTTCTAGCAGTGTCCTTGCCACCAAGGTGCTGTGTGACCTTGAGCAAGTCAGATCAGAGTTCCATGAGTTGAGTTCTGAGGTGCTTCCTGTTGTCGGTCCTTGACTCCTTCCACGCCCTGGCTGGGCACTTGTTCTCCCATGCTCTTCAGTTATGAAAGGAACCACAGTGACCTTCCGAAGTGCCTCCTCTCACAGTTTCTTAAGCATTGGGGGAATATGGCTCTTCTTGTTACCATGACTTCCCAAGGTAGAAGTGGGGTGCTGGACAGTAGTTCGATTCCCAGTCAGGGCACATGCCTGGGTTGGGGGCCAGGTCCCCAGTAGGGGGTGTGTGAGAGGCAACCACACACTGATGTTTTGCTCCCTTTCCTTTCTCTCTAAAAGGAAATAAAATATTTAAAATATATATATTTTAGAACATTTAAATAATAAAAAATATTCATACAGGATTTCATATAAGTTTAGCTCTAAGAAGTTTTTGGTGGATACTATACCCTAGTTCCTAGAGACTACGAAACTACATTAAAAACCTGAAAAAGTCATTAGGTGACTCATTGTCTTTTTAAATCAAATTGAGAAAGAATAAAAACAAGCCACATGATATGTTAACAATTCTTTGTGAATTTGCCTCCTACATTTCTTTGCACGACTTTTTTTAAACCCACATTATTACTAACGTTTTACTTGAATTTTATAAGAGGTTATCAAATGTCCCATTATAAAGTATTTTATCATCACCTTACATGTATGTTTATTTTAAGGCTTAAATTCCTGCTGAGCTTTGAAATGTATAAGTAAGGCCTAACATAAAGTGTGGCACAAAATGATAGGTCGTGATTTTTTTCACATGGAGGAAAGATGTCACATGCAGAGGAAAATCCATGTGGTTGGAAATAGCCAAGAGAAAGGTGTTTTCTTCTTTTCATAAATCATGTCAGAAATAGGGAAATCTGGCTGTTTGGATATGGCCAAGGTCATGTGCTATCTGGCAACCTATAAAGTATACCTTAGGCCACACCCACAATATCTTGGGATATGAAAGAAGATGAATTCCTTCCAAGAAAAGTAATTTTTCTGTGTTTTTCCTTCTCTTAAAGTCCTGGCTTTTAAACACATGGATGTGAATCTTTCCGTGTTCCTCCACACAGTGATTAATACCGCTTTTCCTAAGTCTGGGTTTCTGCTGTAGGAATTTTCCATTGGGAGTAGACGGGACACAATGCCGACTTATAGATGCCATTGTCATACATGCCGTCGTCATCGTACATTTACCGCAGTGGTAGGAGGTAGGAGGATCCTGTCCTCCGCCTGCTGTGGTGGTCTTTTGGTCAGCTGTGTTTTAGGAAGGTGGTCTTGTCCTGTAAGGCAGGCTGGGCCTGAGCCCCAACTTCCAGCTCCCTGGCCTTGCTTTAAAGCAGCAAAGGTGTCTGCATCTTCACCTCGGGTTTAGGCTGGTCTGTGGGCTGCTGGGTCCTAGGGCAGGAGAGTAGCCCCCTTGTGCGTGTACCCTCCCCAGTGCCTCTCGTCTTTGCTTTTCTCTTCCTGAGTGAGAGGGCTCTTGTTCGGGGCCGCCTGATCTCCAGGTTGTGCCCCTTCCCTCTCTCCAGAATGGCATCTACACTTTTTTCCCCTGTGTAATCATCTCTTTCTGTTGTGGGGGTGAGAGGTAGACGAAAGCTTCTCTCTCTGGATCTTTAAATATGCTTTCATCTCCCCAAAACTAACAGTACAAAGCAAGACTACAAAACAAGACCGCAAACTAAGAGTGTCTCAACACAGCTGTTCCTCTAACTTCCGCATCGACTGCCACCATCAAAACCAAATGCCTCGAAAACCCAGCCTGTACTGGTGGCACCCATTGTGTCTCCGCACTCTCATTCCACTTCCCACTGCCGTCACCGCAGCCCCCAGCACTCCCTCGGGGTCACTCCAGGCCTCGCAGTCACAAGTTTAGTTTGTCTTTAGTTTGTCTCTGGAATGGAATTCATCCACTCCAGCTTCTACATTTGCCATTACTGAGTTCCTCCTTGATTTACAAAAGGTGTCATTATATTGGTTGCCTTTGACTCTTCTTGCTGTCTTTTGCTCCCTCTCTTTCCCTCCTCATCTCTCCTGAATCTTGGGGCGGGGGGGGCGTTGCTACATGTCTTGGCCCTTCTCATGCTTTGAACGTGTCCTTCCTCATCACACCCTCTTTTCTCAGTACCCACATCTCTCCAACCCAGGTTCTAGGTGAGGCCCGGGCACTTCCACTGAAGCACCTGCTGGGCAGCACTTGCCTGAGGACTACATGTCAACACAAAACCCATCCCCATGGTCTGCATGCATCTACACTGAACGTACGGGATATGCCAGGCCCAGCGCTAGAGCTGGGTACTCCACAGCGAATAAGCGAGCAAGGTCTCTGCTCTCACGGAGCTTTCATTCTAGAAACGAAAGCTACTGATGGTTGTTGCTATGAATGAGCACAGGGGGTGAGGGGTGAGGGAATGGAAAAGTACTATGTACAAGCATGTTCCAAACCAAAACAGATCCTCTGCCAACCCCAGGTATCCTGGCGATTGCAGACACGGCATTGTGTAGCATCCAGACTCTGAACCATGGAGTCCTGTGACTCCCCTGCTTATTGCCATCTTCGCATCTGGCTAGTTCCCTAAACCATGTATTTTTTTCCTCCTGGTTGGAGGGTCTCTAACATCAGCCTTTCCTCCCCATCCCCATTGTCTGGGCTTCATCACTCTCTGTCTCAATTGTTGCAGGTAGCCTCTCTGCTGTATGTAGGTGTTAGCTGTACTCACCGTGGGAAGCTATGGAATGCTAGAGAAGTCAGGGAGGGGCTGGGTCCGGAGAGGACGCCCAAGAGAGGGACCTGACCTAGCTGGTGAGGCTGGCAGAGAAGGTTCAGGATGGCGCTGCTGTCAGGAACCCTGGAATAAGCAAGATAACCCTTTTCCAAGTTCCAGGCCAGCCACATAGGGCCCCCATCCTAAGGAACTAGGGGATTGAGCTGGTAACTAGGCCAGGAAGTTACCAAAGGATTCAGGACAGAAACTCCCTGTAGAAAGTGAACAGCCCTGGGAACAGCCTCGCAGACCCCACCCTCGGGGCTGGGAGCTCCTGGTATTAGGATGACACAGCCCAGGATCCATCCAGGAGCGGGGAGGGAGCGGAGGTTGCGTGCACTGGTGGACGCAGGTAGGCAGAGCACCCATCTCTGCCTCTCCCCAAAGATCCTTCTGACACCACCACACGGGCATCTCCCACAGGTGGAACCTGGGTCCTGTCACCTCATACTCAGAAAGTGTGACTGACCATACATTGTTTCCTAAATGACTTCCAGATTCGTCTGTCCTCCTCGGAGTAACCAAACTGACCTTTGCTGTCATATCTTTGTCAGTCACAGCCTTGGACACACCAGGTCACTCACTGAGCACCCCTGAGCCTGCTGGTCCCCAGACCCTTCGCTTTGCTCCTCCCTCTTTCTCT